CTTAGGCGGTTACAGCGCCAAAAAAGGAGAAGAAGAAGTTCATACGAATATACATATGTATGTATTTATTCACAGGTCTAAATATCTTGCATTGACGAATATATTCCGAACAAGTATAAAAGTTTAAGTTCGGGCGAAACCGAAATTTATACGCCCGGTGCAGGTATCAAATAACGGCGTTTTAATTTTCTCTGAACTACCTTTGCATGATAAACCCCTGCTTTTCCCGATTTTAAATGTTTTCGATAGACTTAACCAAGTTTGGTAGAAATCGATAAAGTTGTTACCGAGATACACCTTGTAGTTATAAGATAGGCGGTGCCACGCCCAATTCCTAAAAATCTATAGAAGTCTTATTTTCAACAATTTGGACCCAATATTTACTGAAATATCGTAGTTCTTACATTTTCCGAAAATACCGTTATATGGGAAGTGGGCGTAGTTACAGTCCGATTTCGCCATTTTCAAGAGCAACCTACCCTGGATAAAGGGCAACTTACTTACCAAATTTCGTTAAGATACCTCAATTTTTGCTCGAGTTATCGTGTCGAATTGGTTAAGCGACTTATGCATTTCCCGCATAAACAAAGAGCAGCGAACACACACACGCACTTGTGTTTAAAAGCCATTCGCATGTTCTTAATTGGATATGCATTTTTTATGCAATTTTTAAATATCTCCTCGCTGAACTTAGTGAAGTGATAAATCGCTGGAATTTCTAGCCATGGTCAACGCTAAGCCAGCTTGGCTATCACACAGTGCTTTAGGCATCGCCCCCACTCCACTCCCGGAGTAATTTCTGACATGGTAGTAAGCTTCGGCTTACAAACCACACTGGGGCTCTTTATGGGGCTAACTCGACCACAACTCTAAACCTGGTCTCCCTCAGCTAAACACAAACTACAAAACAAAAGTCATGAAATACACCCGAAACAAAACCTGGTGAAGGTTGTAGGTATGGTCGAGTACAACAGCAAAATAGGTTGCGCATAGTTCCTGAACATTCTATTTTTTATACCAAAAAACCGTTATTTTCGTACTAGATGCAGGTTGAAGCTTGACTATTTTCTACCCGATTTAAAAAATCGAAAAAGTTTTGAAAACAGGATTTATAGACCTTTATAACGATGTATTGGGAGTTTTCATCGGTTAAATTTTAATGAGCCCTTATTTTTCTTCATTTTTTTAAGTTTGAATCGCTAATTTCAAAAATGTCTATGAAAGAAATATTTACTCAAAATTGATATATGCATAAAATTTTTGGAAAATGGGCGTGGTACCGCCCATATATATCATATATGCGTATCTCGGAAACTACTTGACCGATATACACATTGAACTTGCCCTCATTAGGCACCGTGTGGAATTTTTTTGAAATCCGACAAAAACCACGTGGTCCACACCATAAAGATAATTTCAAAAAACTCAAGGCTAGCTATATTTCAGGGAGAAAGGGAAATTTGGTCGAGATCGGTCAAGTAGTTTTTGACCCTGCAGGGAAAGCTACTAGTTGTGAACTAGAATTCTACCGGTTTGCGTTTTAGCCGAACTAGTTCCTTTTTCAATGTTAGCGACTGGTATTTTTAACA